GTGGAGTTGCTGGGATTAGAACTGGTGCCCATATGGGATCCTGGTGTATTCAAGGCTAGGACTTTAGCCGCTAGGCCACCGCGCCAGGCCCTCAAGCATTTTCTTTACCTTCAGAGGAATGGCAAGGCCATGATCACACCTGTGTTTAGGAAAGATGAGCCTCGCTGCTCAGGGGCGAGCAGGGCGGGAAGAGCTGTAATCAAGGAGGATTTTGCAGTCAGCCAGCTAAGAGAGGTGACAGTGCCATCTGCCAGGTTGTAGTCCACCCATTTCTTCAGTGCACGGATAGCTACAGAGCACCTGGGTGCCAGGCCGGGCTGCATGGGCCTCAGAGCTAGAATAGTCAAGCAAAGTTGGTCCTTGTGGAGATTGCAGTCTACTGCAGGAGACAGTGTTAAGACAGTGCTAATGCCTATGGAGAAAACAGAGTTGGTCAGAAAAAAATATTATTGCAAAGGGATGAGGAGACTTTGCCCATTGTAGATTTCCTTTTTTATTTATTTATTTATTTATTTATTTATTTTTATTGGAAAGGAAGATACACAGAGAGGAGGAGATATAAGATCTTCTGTCCGCCGATTCACTCCCCAGGTGGCCGCAATAGCCAGAGCTGTGCCAATCCAAAGCCAGGAGCCAGGAGTTTCTTCTAGGTCTCCCACGTGGGTGCAGAGTCCCAAGGCTTTGAGCCATTCCCAACTGCTTTCCCAGGCCACAAGTCTGGAGTAAGATGGGCAGTGGGACCACTGGAATTACAAGTGGTGCCTATATGGGATCCTAGGAAGTGCAAGGCTTTAGCCACTGACTTTAGCCACTAGGCTGCTGTGCCAGGCCCTGGGCCCTTCTTTTTGTTTTTAAGGATTTATTTATTTTTATAGGAAAGGTAGATCTACCTAGAGAAGTTGAGACAGAAAGATCTTCCATCCACTGTTTCACTCCCCAAATGGCGGCAAAGGCTGGAGCTAAGCTGATCTGAAGCCAGGAGCTTTTTTCAGGTCTCCCATGTGGGTACACTGTCCCAAGGCTTTGGACCAACCTATACTGATTTCCCAGGCCACAAGCAGGGAGCTAGATGGGAATTGGAATAGCCAAGACATGAAGTGCCAGTCCTATGGGATCCTGGTACATGAAGGTAGGGAATTAGCCAATTGAGCCATTGTGCCATGCCCTAGAAAAGCACATTTACAGATAGGAGATACAGAAAGATCTTCCATCTGCCGATTCACTCCCCAAATGCCTGCAGTAGCCTGGACTGGGCCCTGCCAAAACAGGGAAGCAGGGACTCATTAGCACCATTGCTGCTCTGTCCTGGTGCCTACATGAGCAGGAAGCCAGAGTTGGAGAGTAGAACAGGGCATCCGATATAGGCATTCTGATGCAGAACCTAGACATCTTGACGCTGGAGATTAACTGTGAGTTTCAAAGCAGAGGAAAGGGTCTCAAATGACCCCCAATCATAAGAAACTGGAAGGGTAGGCTTGGCATCAGCGAAGATGGGAGATGTTGGAGGAGCAGGTCAGGACCTCTGTTTGGGAGTTGCATGAGCGAAACTGGCCCTCCAGGGAGAGGTCAGGGCCAGAGGGACAGATTTGGTTGTCATCAGCACAGTGGTGGTGTTTAAAGTCGAGAATCTGGGTGAGATCACCCAGGGCGTGCGTGCGGGCAGACAGGAGTGCCTCGCTGAGCCCTGGGGCTCTCTGGTGTGATTCGCTGGGAAATTAAGGAGGGGTGGTGGAGAAGTCAGAAGGAAAGCCAGGAGGGTGCTGAAAGGGGTTTCACAGCCTCCAGGGGCCAGCTGTGTCAGATGCCACCAATGGGTCATGAAAGAGTAGGCCACTAACTGGCTGCTGGGTTTAGCAGTGTGGCAGTCATGGGCTAGCCTGAGAGGCCACCATGGAGTGGGCACTCTTAGAAAGCAGGTGAGGTGATTCTTTTGGAGACACATGCTGTTCCCCGAGTCCCTTCCAGGAGCCAGAAGTGACGGATCTCTTCACTGTCTGTACCAGCAGCTGTGGGGAACTGGGGCCCCATCAGGTTCAGGGCTGGCCCAGGGTCCCACACAGTGTTGAGATCCCCGCTTGGGCCTGTCCGGCCCTGCTGTGTCTGATGCCCAGCTGAGAGCCCTCCCCAGCCTCACTTCTGCCACACCCTGCTCCCAGCCTCCCTTCCCAGCGCCAGTCGGGATCTGGTTGGGGATTCATTGTCTTGCCTAGTGGGTGTGATTTGCCTAGGTGAGGACAAACATCTGCCTACTAGTTTTCCTTACAACACTTGCAGCACGCACAGGTACTTAAAGAATGACAATAAGCAGGCCTCACCCTCAGCCTGTGAGCTTGGTACTTACACATCCAGGCCTTGGCCCCAGACAGTTCTGGGTACAGATCGTAACTATGCCATGTATTGGTCCTGTGACCTGGGGCCAAGCACTTAGCAGGTGAGTTCTGGCTGCCTTGGCTGTTGTAATGGAGAGAAGATGCTGTGCCAGTCAGATGAGAGCTGCAGGGGCGTGAAACATCTTTCCGTGAGTGAGGGAGGAGTAAGCACCTGCTGAATGGCTGCCACTAGATGTGCTGCTCACTGGAGCTGGCAAAGGAATTCTCACTGGGCCACGGTGTGCAGCTGGTATAGGGAGAGCTGGCTGGCCTGTCATGATGCCTAGAGGCTGGCTGAGTTGGCCAGGTCACTGGGAGCCAGGCCTCCAGCTAGGCCTTTGGAGCCCAGGAAGCAGGAAGGGAAGGAAGGAAGAAAGGAAGGGGAGATAGCATGAGCATCAGGTTGTGTCATCACCTCTGTTCTGATACAGGTGGGGCTCTGGACCAGCAATGAGGGGTTATATTTAGGCTCCTTCACTTAGCCAAATAACCTCTAATTACTTAACTCCTTTGTACATTTATCCACCTGTTTGGAAGAAATATTTCTAGTAACTTCATCCTAAGTATTGTCATTCAGCACTAAAGCTAATATGTGGGGAGGCAGGCATTTGTGCTACAGTGGGTTAAGCCGCCATATGTGACACCTGAGTCTCACAGTGGAGTGTCAGTTTGAGTCCCAGATACTCTGCTTCTGGCCCACCTCCCTAGTGGGAGCCTAGGAAAGTAGCAGATGATGACCCAAGTATTTGGGGCTCTGCCACCCATGTGAGAGACCAGGATGGAGATCCTGGCTCCTGGCTTAGGCCTGGCCCAGCCCCAGCTGATGTAAGCATTTGGGGAGTGAAACAGAGGATGTAAGATCTTTGTCTCTTCCTCTCTCTCTGTCATACTGTTTTCCAAATAAACAAACTAATTCTTTTTAAAGGTTTATTTTATTTTTAATGGAAGGGCAGAATACAGAGAGGAGAAACAGAGAAAGAAAGACCTTCTCTGTGCTAGTTCATTCCCCACAGTGGCTGGAGTTGAACTGATCTGAAGCCAGGAGGCAGGCGCTTCTTTTAGGTTTCCCACATGGGTTCAAGGGCCCGAGAGCTTGAGCCATCCTCCACTGCTTTACCAGACTGTGAGCAGGGAGCTAGCTTGGAAATAGAGCAGCCACTAGACCACTGTGGAGTGGATAACGTCTACACAACATACAGGAGGAGCTGTAGCACAGAGGACACACAGAAAGCAGGACTTCAGATAGTCCCATTTCACAGCCCAAAGCAACCAGAGGACACCCACCTCCCTGGAAAAGGCACCAAGCATGCCAAAGGCCACTCCTGGGGTGCCCCTCCCTGCCCATGTGTTTTTATCTGTAGGGAGGGGCTGCGCGCCACAGTCCAAGAGAACCAGGGTTCCCAGAGCTTGGTGGCAGCAGCCAGGAGGAAGAAGTGCTCCCCCAGGGAGGCCCCCTTGCACAGCCTGGCCTTGCTCCCCACACCCAGGTGGGTGGCTGTGTCCCTGCAGGTCCCTTGGTCCCCAGTAAGTAACAGCAGATGGCATCAGCAGATGTCTGGCACCTGAATGCTGAGATTCCTCTTGGTAAGACCTGGAGGCATCCTGAGACCCGCAGAAAAAAGTGTTGGCTGGCACATGAATTATACCAGGCATTTCACCGCCACCCTGCTAGCTTATGCCTAGTGCCTCTGTTTTACAGATAGGAAAACTGAGGCTTAGAAAGGTTGTCTTGCCCAAGGATACTTGCTGGGAAAGAAAGCTCCCTTTCCTGTGTTTGGGTGCTAAATTCAGAAAAGTTAAGGTGGCTGATGCTGAAAGCCCATCTTGCTGCCAGCCCTCAGTAGACTCACGCCCTCATATGTGCTCATTTGCTAGGTCACGTGGCTTCTTTACTTGGTTCCTAGCTATCTTTTATAGGGTTCCTGGAATGTTCATGTCTTCAACAAAGAAATCTGACTAGGGAAAAAGAAGTTATAAAGTGGATGCAATTGATTGCCCATCCCACTGGGGATTTTAACAACATGGGCATCCCACTTGTGCCCACATTTGTGTCCTTCCTGTGGGTTAGTCCCCCATGCCTAGCACTGGTACCCTCTGTGAGTCAGGCCCTGGGACCCAGAGGTGGAGTAGAAAGGTGAGGGAGGCAGGCATGGAACCCAGGCATCACCATTTGGTGCACTAATAAGGGCTAAAGTTTACTCCATTTGTTTTCCCAGTGCCCCCTGCACCTCTCCATCCCATGGCACACGCCCTTCTCCTAGTCAGGACCTTCCCCACCTCACTTTACCCAATACAGCAGCTCATCCTTTAGCTCTTTGCTCAACTGTGACTCTCCTTCAGGAAGCCCGCTGATGTAGATCGACCATCCCCACCATGCTGTTCTTCCCCCAACCCCTGACACAGTCCTTGCTCTACTGTAACTGCCAAGTGCTTTGCCTGTCTGCCCTGCTGGAGGGTGAGGACCACACAGACAGGGGTAGCACCTGCTTTTCCACTCCTGTCTCGTTAGTATATATGGGAACAGACCCAGCACATACAGAGAACATACATGTCTGAATGAATGCAGTAGTTGGATGAAAAGGCAGCCCTGGTACACACTGACCCTCTTCCTGTCTTGTGTCACTCTTGCAGCTATGGGAGCCAGGATGCCCCCGGAGCCCAGGCCTTCTCCAGAGGGTGACCCATCCCCCCCACCGCCACCACCCCCAATGTCAGTCCTGGTCCCAGACACTCCTCCGGACACCCCTCCTGCCATGAAGAATGTCACCAGCCCTAAGCAGCTCTCGCCGGAGCCAGAGAGCCCCCCAGGACAGGTGGAGCCTCTGCCAGCACCCCAACAGGAAGAATCCCCTTCTCCAGAAGCAAAGAACAGGGGGCCCTCCCCACCAACCACGGGCCCACGGGATGCCAGACCTGCTCGAAGGAGCAGTCAGCCATCCCCAACGGCAGTGGCAGCGCTGGCCTCCGACAGCCCTCCCGCCAAGCCAGGTGTGTTGGAAGTCCCCAGGGCTGCACTTGGAGACATCCCCCTCCTGGTCTGTAGGAGATGGGGAAAGGGATGAGGGCTGGAGGGAGCAACCCCCACTCCACTCCCGGGAAGATTCTGATGGGTGTGTGCTTGTTCTCTCTGCTAAGATGTCAAGAAGGCAGGAGAGAGACATAAGCTGGCCAAGGAGCGGCGAGAAGAGCGGGCCAAGTACCTTGGTGAGTGAGCGGGTGGCATGGTGGTCACTGGAGCCACCACCATCCTATTAATAACACTGATGCTTCTGGACCATTTCATTATGTATGCCGCATTAAAAGCAGCGCACACGGCGTCTCACTCAGTCCTCACAGCCCATTAGAGATACAATGGCTCAGGGAACTGAAATCCTTTGTAAAAGCTGCAGGGCCAGTGGAATAGCTGAGACACACCCAGAAAGCCCCAGCACACTTCACATCTCCACCCCCACCCCCACAGTCTGTGGGCAGCTCTGCTGGAGGACCCCACATAGGATGGCCATCTTGTACTGAAGAACTTGCTTCTTCTCTTTCAGTCCTGACACCTGAGGGCTAACTCGGGAGAAGCAGGGCTCCCGCGAGGACTGTGTTCAGGATGGCTCCCACGGGAGCAGGTGTCTGAGCATGGCAGGGGTTGGGGATGGGGCTCCACTTCAGGGCTGGGGCAGCAGCAGGCAGGCTGCTTGGAGGAGAGGCACTTGGCTGTGAGCAGCCTGCAGAACCCCTCACCCAGCACTGGGCTCCTTCTGTCACAGCGGCCAAGAAGGCGGTGTGGCTGGAGAAGGAGGAGAAGGCCAAGGCACTGCGGGAGAAGCAGCTGCAGGAGCGCCGGAGGCGGCTGGAGGAGCAGCGGCTCAGAGCAGAGCAGCGTAGGGCTGCCCTGGAGGAACGGCAGCGGCAGAAGCTTGAAAAGAACAAGGTGGGGGTCTGCTACTTTCTTTTTTTTTTTAAGATTTATTTTTATTATTTTTTCATTGGAAAGGCGGATATACAGAGAGGAGAGACAGAGAGGAAGATCTTCCGTCCAATGTTTCACTCCCCAAGTGAGCACAACGGCCAATGCTATGCCGATCTGAAGCCAGGAGACCCTTCTGGGTCTTCCACGCGGGTGCAGGGTCCCAAGGCTTTGGGCCATCCTCAACTGCTTTCCTGGGCCACAGGCAGGGAGCTGGAAGGGAAGCGGGGCTGCCGGGATTAGAACCGGCGCCCATATGGGATCCCGGGCGTGCAAGGCGAGGACCTTAACCACTGTGCCACCTACTTTCTTGCAACTGGGTGTTCATAAGCCCAGAGCACTGTCCCTGTGCCTCTGCGGCATCATGTCTGCCTGGCCCTCGGTCCACAGTCGTGTCCCTGTGTCACTGTGACTGGGCCTGCTTACAGCTGCAGTGTTTGTGCCCATATGAACCACTGCCCACATCTGTATGCAGGCCCATGTGGCCATAGTATACTTGTCCCTTAACATCTACAGGGGATTGGCTCCAGGACCCCCACATGCCAAAATGGTAGATGATCAAGTCCCTTGTATCAAAGAATGTAGTATTTTTATACAACCTGTGCACATCCATTCCCATGTGCTTTAATTTTTATTTCATTTTATTTAAAAGGAAGATATATATGGGCAGGCGGATCTCCCTTCTGCTAATTCATTCCCCCAAATGCCCATAGTAACTAGGGCTGGGCCAATTTAGGTCTTCCACATGGCAGGCAGGGAGCTAAGTGCTTGAACCATCATCTACTGCCTGGTAGGATGCATGTTAGTAGGAAGCTTGGTCTGAAGTAGAGCAGCTGGAACTTAAAACCAGAACTCTAATAAGGGATGTTAAGGCATCCCAAGCAGTGACTTAACCCACTTGGCCAAACGCTCGCAGCTTGGATACTTTAAATCATCTCTACATTCAGTTAAAACACCTCATTAATGCCACATAACTCATCACTGTACTGTACTGTGTTGTTTAGGAAGTAGGGAAGGGAGGAGCGTCTGTGGGCTCAGCAGAGGCAGTCGCTTTTTTTCCTGACACTTTGTCGGCAGTTGGTTGACCGCAGGTGTGGATGCATAAACACGAGGGCCCACTGTGTACAGACGAAGTGTCTGCATGAGCCCAGGCCTGTCACACACGTAGGGCTCTGGCTCAGACCCTGGTGAGGAAATGATGGGAGTCATGGCCCAGCCCTGCCGAGGAGTCCCAGGCTGCAGGGGACACCTAGTCCTTGAGGTCAGGATCCCAGTGCCAAGGGGAGCTCATCTTGCCCAGCAGCCCCAGGCAGGGCAAGGACCTGGGGCTTCAGTTGCAGCTTTTGCACCCAGGAAATGACTCAAGAACAGCCAGAAACACCTCAAGAGCAAGTTGAAAGGGATGTAGCACACATGGTCCTTAGTCATCACAGGGCTTCCGTAACCTTGGTTACCTGCGTGAGTCAGGAAAAGCTTCCTGGGGGGGAACCAGGAGGTGCTGTCCCAGGAAGCAGAAAGGCCTCTCTCCCAGGTCGCCATGAGTGATTCTGAATGCAGACCTCTCTCCCCTGGCCACCCCCTCCAGGAGCGTTACGAAGCAGCCATCCAGCGGTCAGTGAAGAAGACATGGGCCGAGATCCGACAGCAGCGCTGGTCCTGGGCAGGGGCCCTGCACCACGGCTCTCCGGGACATAAAACCAGTGAGTGGGCCAGAGGGGCTGCTGAGTGAGTGAGCAGGAGAGGCTGGGCAGAGAGCAGCCCCTCACAGGAGGAGCCGGCAGCTCTCTGTGGTAGGCGTGGCTTGCTCCGTGGGACTATGGCTTCTGAGACGGTCTGTGAACAAGTGACCGACTCAGACAGACCCACTCCAGTTGGCCCGTTCTTCAAACCTGTCATTTTAGGAGTAGCCTTGTGTGTTCCTGTCAGTTGTTACTAGTTGGTAATCATAAAAAGAGACGTTAACGCCCCACAGACATTGTCACCCTCTGTCTCGGAAGGTAGATGCTTGTGTCTGAGTCTTCCTCATGGCGAGCTGTCATGGGTTCTAGTCTGATGCCCGGCTGGCATGGATGGTCACCATGTTGGACACCCCTGCAGCGGCGAGGTTTCATGTTTCTAGCTGCTTCTCTTGGAGTCTGTGCGCATAGAGCTGCCTCCGTGTGGCTTGATGTCTGCCTCGGTGTATATCTGTGACCTTGGAGATCTCCGCAGGGGGGTGCTCCCGAGTCACAGACTTGGGGTCCAGCCCTGGCACTTGCAGGGTAACCATTAACTTCTCACTGTCTCGCTTTCTTCATCTGTGTAATGGGGGTGATGATCCTGTGCATCCCCCCGCCCACCAAGCTTGTAGGTAGATGTCTGGAGGATCAAAGTGAGGTAACGTGTGCCTGGCACCTGGTAAGCATCCAGCACAGCTAGCCCCCACAGGTGTCGCCACTGGACTGCCTCCAGGTGCTTGTGCCCATGTGTATATGGGACTGGGTCTGGGTCTGACGCGGGGTCATCCATCAGTGTCTTTGTTTCTGTCCATGCATGTCTACATATGCGTGCGCATGTGTGCATACCTACCACGCTCTGCCTGCCTGCATGTCCTTGTCTTGGTGTCGGGCGACTACGTGGGTTTGTGCAAGTGACTGTGACCATGTGGGTTGTTGTTTAGGAACCTCTTTGCATTTGTCCCAGTATGTGGGTGTTGTATCCATAGCGCCTCAGCCGGGCACTGTGAGCAAGCGCCAACCCTAGCTGTTGGGAGGGGTTGCAATACCCAGCTCTAGGGAGATGGCTGCCTTCAGCCTGGCCAGGAAGATTGTAGTTTTTCTAGTTTCATACCATCTCCTCCCTCTATTCCTTCTCCGTCGGCTCCCCCAGCCCAGGTTGCCTTGGGTCACCTGCTCCCCACCTTCCCTTTCCCAGGCCAAGGCGGCCTCCCCCTCCTCCATCCCCACCTGCCCACTCGCCCCTCTCCTGCCCTGCCCTCGGAGCACCCTGCATGGAAGGCCTCAGTGCCCCCCTGGCTCCTGTCTGGCCCGGCCCTAACGCCGTGTCTTTTCCCCTCCAGGTGGGAGCAGGTGCTCCGTGTCGGCAGTAAACCTGCCCAAACACGTGGACTCTATAATCAACAAGCGGCTCTCAAAGTCCTCTGCCACGCTCTGGAACTCCCCCAGTAGAAGTAAGAGAAGGCCCAGCCTTCCCCCTCCAGAGCCCCCCTCGTAGTCCCCCACCAAACAACCTCCAGAGCTCTGCCAGAACGCTACCCCACCATCCCCGCTTGACCCACTGGGGCTCTGTGCCCCTGTGCCCCTGGGGGAGCCGGCATTGCGCCCCACAGGAGAGGCAAGCAGAGACAAAAGACAATGCCCAAGAGGGCAGAAAGCCTGACAGGGGCCTTCAGTACAAGTTAGGCGCAGTGGCTGGAGGTGGGGATGAGGGCAGACAGCCCTATCTCCAACCACACCAGCCAGCTAGCCTGGCCAAGTGTAGGCAGGTGGCCTTGCCCACCGTGTGTCAGACCAGTCTGGGGCCTGGGGGTGGAGGGAGGGGGCCCCGTGTGCAGCCTTGAACAACCTTCAGAGCCAGAGCTGTGGCCAGCCAGGGTGGCACAGTCCTGCTTTCCCACCATGCCCAGATACTCACAGTGAAGGAGCCATGATAGGAGTTATTTATAAGTTTCTCTAGCTTTTATTTGGTTGCTCTGTTGCCTAGCAACCAAATCAGCTGCTGTACCAACCCCACCTGACTGAGGCTTAAAAATAACCCAGCAGCTGAGGGGAAGAGCTGGATAGCCTTGGGCACCCAGGCAGGCTCACAGCCTCTCCCTGGCACAGGACTCTCACTATGGGCTCAGGAGAGCACAGGGACCCTAACAGCGCCAAACTCGGGGGAGCACGCCACATACCCCCACCAACCCTCTGGAATGAGAAGGCTACTGGGAAGCCCCAGTCCTGGGTGGCTCCTTCGCTTGTGTTCCCAGTTCAGAACCCTTTCCCTTGGGGAGAGCCATGTAGGGGACCCTCAGATGATGGTAGATGATGCCCAGCAAGTGTCTGGTGGCCTGGGTCTGCAGTGAAGGTCCACCCTTGCCTCTACAAGTACTGACCGGCTCCGCCTGGTATTTCTTCTCCAGATCGCAGCCTCCAGCTGAGCGCATGGGAGAGCAGCATCGTGGATCGTCTCATGACGCCCACCCTCTCCTTCCTGGCTCGAAGTCGCAGTGCGGTCACACTGCCCCGCAACGGCCGGGACCAGGGTAGGGGCAGCGGCCCTGGGAGACCTCTGACGAGGGTCCGGGCAGGGGCCAGCGTTGCCCCCCGGCCGCACCCCGACCCCACTCATCCCTCCGCAGCCGTGCCCCTGTGCCCACGCTCGGCCTCAGCCAGCCCCCTGACGCCGCCTTGCAGCGCGCCGCGAAGCGTGCACCGCTGCGCCCCTGCGGGGGAGCGCGGAGACAGGCGCAAGCTCAGCGCCGGGGGCAGCCCCGCCGCGGTTCGCCGCCGGCCCGAGGCCTCGCCGGTGAGTGGCTGCAGGCAGGCGGGGGGCGGGCGGCTCCGGGCAGAGTAGGGGTCGCTGACCAGTGTTCCCGCTCCCCGCCCCCTCCCCACCAGGTGCAGAAAAAGGAGAAGAAGGATAAGGAACGGGAAAATGAAAAGGAAAAGAGCGCCCTGGCCCGGGAGCGTAGCCTCAAGAAGCGCCAGTCGCTACCCGCCTCCCCGCGCCCGCGCCTCTCGGCCGGCGCCTCCGAACTCAGGTGGGCGCACGGCTCCTCGTGGTCATTCATTCACTCAATGACGGGCACCTGCGCCTGGTGCGCGCCCCACCCCTAGAGCACCAGTTCCTCCAGGGCAGGTTTTTCTGTTCTTTCTCTAATAACCCTCTTCCTCTCTCATCTTGCTTTTGTTCTTCAAGATTTATTTACTCAAGTGAAAGGCAGAGTGACAAAGGGTCTTTATCCACTGGTTCATGCCCCAAATGGCTGCACCCCAGCGAAGGCCAGGAACCCACCCGGAACTCCATCCCCGTGTACCCCATGAGTAGCAGGAGCCCAAGCACTTGGACCAAACTCTGCTGCCTTCCCAAGGCGCATTAACAGGGAGCTGGATTAGAAGCAAAGCGGTGGGGACAGGAGCCAGTGTTCACACAGAGGCCTGGTGACAGGCCCCCTTCTGTTTGGATCCCTTGAATACCCCCCACGGGTGGCTCACTAGCTGATAGTGTTCACAAGTTCTGAAGACATGTTGGCAAGCTCAGCCAGGCCCATTTTCTGCCCTCATGATCCTGCAGGCTACCAGGGAGACATCAGAGGGACTTAGAAATCTCTCATTGCACAGGGGCTGTGGAGGGTGGGAGGTGGGACCCAGACCTCACTGGAGCATGCTCCCGAGTTAGGCTGTGCCCCAAGAGGGAGTGCGCACTCGCTGGCAGCACCTTCTCCACCTAACCCTCTTTGCCTCTCTTGCAGCGCCAAATCCAAGGCCCGGCCAGCCTCTCCTTCCACGCCCTGGCACAGGCCTGCCTCCCCCTGCCCCAGCCCAGGGTCAGGCCATGCTCTGCCTCCAAAACCTCCTTCCCCCCGGGGCACCATCGCTTCACCCAAGGGCCGGGTTCGGAGGAAGGAGGAGGTGAAGGAGACCCCCAGTGCAGCAGGGCCCGAGGACAAGAACCAGAGCAAGCGCAGGGCCAGTGAGGACAAGGAGCCGGCTGCCCCAGCCTCCCCCGTGCCCCTGGCCACGCCCCCGCCCACCCCTGCCCAGCCCCCGAAGGAGCAGCCCGCCACTGAGACCCCTGCAGGTGGGTGTGTGGAGAAGCCCCCTCTGGCTGAGTGGGGGGAGAGGGGCGCGGTGCCCACACATGCTTGGGCATTGTGGGATTGGAGAGCAGGAGAGGCAGATGGCCCCTGCCGGCCAGCCCTGGGTCCAGGCCGGGAGTGCAGGCCACTCTGGGTCAGTTGAGGCCCTAGGGGCCCACAGGTGTCCCTGTGGAGGTAGGTGAGTTAACTCCTGGTCCTGGATTCCCTCCAGACACTGCTGCTCCAACCTCGACCTCGGTTTCCGCTCTAGCCCCCGCGCCACCAGCTACCCCGAGCAAACCCATGGCCGGCACCACTGACCGAGAGGAGGCCACTCGGCTCCTGGCAGAGAAGCGGCGCCAGGCCCGGGAGCAGCGCGAGCGCGAGGAGCAGGCGCGGCGGCTGCAGGCAGAGAGGGACAAGTGAGTGCGCCCCCTCGGGCGGAGGGCCTGCGGGAGGGCTGGGGACCAGGGCTCCGCAGGCGGGACCCTGAGCCAGGGAATTCGCCCTAGGCGAATGCGAGAGGAGCAGCTGGCGCGGGAGGCGGAGGCCCGGGCCGAGCGGGAAGCCGAAGCCCGGAGGCTAGAGGAGCAGGAAGCCCGCGAGAAGGCGCAGGCCGAGCAGGAGGAGCAGGAGCGGCTGCAGAAGCAGGTGCTCGGAGGGCGGGCGCGGGGCGGCTGGGTGCGGGGCCTCGCCCGAGGGAGGGCTGGGGGTGCGGTGGGGCCCAGGCTCACGGGGATCTTTGGCAGAAAGAGGAGGCCGAAGCTCGGATGCGGGAAGAAGCGGAGCGGCAGCGTCTGGAGCGGGAAAAGCACTTCCAGCGGGAGGAGCAGGAACGGCAGGAGCGCAGGAAGGTGGGCGGGGCGGCGGGAGCGGGCAGGGCGGGGCGGGGGGGGCACTTCTCACCTGGGTTGTGTTTGGGGCTGCGTGTTCGGGGCTGCGTCTGGAAGGGCTGCTGACCAGTCTGGAGACTCGAAGCCAGGGCCTTGGCCTTGTAGAAGTTAGGACAAGGAGGAGCTGCTCCACTTCCAGGGCAACCAGGCCAAGTTCTGGTTTATGGCCTAGAAAGAGTTGCTGTGATCTGGGAAGGGCCCAAGAGCCCCAGGGCTGGCTGGTGGGAGATGGAGGATTCCGTTAGGGCTTGGACTTAATGACCTGGGGTCTCCAAACAGCGCCTGGAGGAGATCATGAAGAGGACCCGGAAATCAGAAGCTGCTGAAACCAAGGTCAGGATTCCCCAGAGGGCAGTTTTGGATGTTGGGGACAGGGTTGAGGGTGCAGGAAGAAGGCTATGGATGGGCACCCAAGCCAGAGCCGAGGGGCATGGCACCACTTGGCACCTGGGCTGGACATCCAGGTGAGGCCAGGAAGGCCTTTGGCCTGACTGCTCTTCTCTTCATCCCAGAAACAGGATGGGAAGGAGGAAAAAGTCAACAATTCCAGCCCAGGTAAAGCCTCCCTCCCTCCTCCCCACCTCCCAGCTACCTGCTGTCTCCCAGCCCCTGACCAGTGGCCATGCCTTCCCTATGCAGAGCCTGGGAAGGCAGTGGAGGCTCGCCCCTCGGGACTGCCGAAGGAGACTGTGCAGAAAGAAGAGCTGCCCCCACAGGAGCCTCAATGGAGGTACCAGCCCCTCGAGGCTAGGGAGTGGGGAGGTGGGCTCAGGCTGCTTCTGGTAGGGGACCTGGGCTGGCCTAGGAAGCCAGATGCTGAGCCTCGGTCCCTGCTCCCACAGCCTGCCCAGCAAGGAGCTGCCAGGGTCCCTGGTGAATGGCCTGCAACCCCTGCCAGCACCCCAGGAGAACGGCTTCTCCCCTAAGGGACCCTCTGGGGACAAGAGTCTGGGACGGGCCCCAGAGACGCTGTTGCCCTTCGCCGAGGCAGAAGCCTTCCTCAAGAAAGCTGTGGTGCAGCCCCCGCAGGTCACAGGTAAGGGACCCCTGCCCTGCCCTCTCCATTCCATGCCTTCTGGGCCTGGGGGCCTGGGCTGCTTTGACTGACCACTCCCCCTCCTGCACCCCCTTTTCCTCAGAAGTCCTGTAAGGCACAGCTGTGAAGGCCCCTCCGCAGCACCTGCCAAGATGTCTGGAGGAAAGAGAGAGAGAGAAGTGGGGAGCAGCCCGGGCCCCTGGCAGTCCTCGCTGTTGTTTGTAACCTGCACCTTATAGACGGACATCTCTGTGGCTGGAGCAGGCCTGCCCTTAGTGCATTTGTGTGCTCCCACGCGCGGACACCTCCCCTGCCCCGCACACACGCACACTCACAGCCTCTTTGGCCTGGTCCCTCAGGGAAGGGCCACCTGTAGTATTTGCCTGGGTTCCGTGGGGTACAGCGGATGTGAATACTGTACATAGCTCGGGCTCAGACCCCTCTATGTGGAGGGGGTGGCGCAGGAGGCAGACCCTCCCCCAGGCTCCCTGGGGAGATCTTCCTCTATTTAACTGTAACTGAGGAGGGACCCCAGGCTGAGGGTGGGGGCACCTTGAGCTTCAGGGGTACCCCTGCCTCTGCCTCGCGGAATCAGTGTTACTGCATCCAATCAAATGTCTCCTGAAATAAAGTGAGAATAAGTCTGCCAGTCCTCAGAGCTGGGGGCCACCATGGCCTACGCCCTATACTCCACTAAAACCCTTACGCCCCAGGCCTGTGGTCTCCTAACTCCCTCATTTATTGTTTTAAAGATTTATTGTATTAATTTAAAAGTAGAGTTACAGAGAGAGAAAGGGAGAGAGCTCTTTTGTCTGCGATAGCTACAACAACCAGAGTTGGGCCAGTCTGAAGCCAGGAGCTTCATCCAGGTCTCCCATGTCTGTGCAGGGGTCCAAGAACTTGGACTATCTTCTGCTGTTTTTCCTGGTACACTAGCAGGAAACCGGATCAGAAGTGGAACAGATGGGGCTCCAACCAGCATCCATATGGGACGCTCATATCACAGGTGACAGCTTAAAACATTGTGCCATACCACCAGCCCCCAATTCCTTCATAAATTGGTTCAACCTGTGCTAGGCAGTGGACTGTACACTGGGGGTGCAGTGAAAGGAAGACGGGGGAGCAGGTGAAAGCTGTCCGCCTAACCTTCATGCCCACTCCTCGCCCCTCATGTCTCATGGAACCCCAGTTGGTTCCAGCAGCCATTTGCCTCCTGGGCGCCACTGTGCTTCTGTAAAGGGGGCTTCTAGCCCAGCAGTTGCATCGTGATCATAATGACCCAAAAACAGTGGCCCCAAGCCCCTCGTGAGTGAGCGGTGGAGGTGTGCGTATGTGACAGGCTCTCGCCCACAGACAGAAAGGGGAACCTAGGGCTTCTGGGGAAGGCTTCCTTGCTTTTGAAAAGAGGCATAATGTGACAGCCCCTCCTCCCAGTAACCCACACTGTGTGTGGTCCCTGCCTACCTCTCATCAGGGTTGGGCTGAGTAACCAGAAGGACACAGCAGGTGTGGGGTGGGTAGGGCAGCGGTACCTCTCATCAGAGTAGGATACACTTGTCCTGGTGGGTTGCTTGCCAGTCACTCCCTGGAGGAAGGCAGCTGCCGTGTCATGAGATACCGGACAGAGGCCTAGGCACCAGGCCGGGAAGCCACCTGCCAGCCACCACACGAACATACTGGGCAGTGAGTCCTCCAGCCCCAGTGCAGCCTTCCCACGACTCCAGTCTTCGTCAACAGCTTGGCCGCTGCCGGCTTTCTTGCCCTTGGAAACAGTGAGGTCATACATGTCTTAAGCCAAGTTCTGTGCTCTATCATCTGTCGCTCCCTGGTAGCTGAATCCATGAGGGGGAGAGCGCCCTGTCTGCTCTGCTGGATGCCTGGAAGCAGCTACGTGGGTTACACCAACCAGCCTGACAACAAAGCCAGCGTCAGGGCGGCAAGGGGCAAACTGGGGCACTGGGAACAGTGTGGGATCCAGCCCCATCTCTGAGCCACTCTCACTTTTCGAGCCAACAAGAGTTGGGTGTTCTCTGATATGTGGCTGAAAGCTTCTAACTCATGTAGAAACACAGACCCCCAAAGCCTAGAAACATACTGTTATTGTAGTGTACCATAAAGGTGGAGGGAAAGATGGGCATCCAGGGGACCCACTTGGGAGGCATCCTCTGTGGTGGCAACGTCAAACCTGGCCTGGAGAGTGCCGGGCCAGCCAAGTGAAAGGCTGGGCGAGGACGTCTGGTCACAGGCCTGCTGGGGAAGGGGCTCAGCCAGCCCAGGTCTCGCCTCGCAGAGCACTTCCAGCTCGGCCAGCAGCCCCTACACCTGATGCAGAGGGCAATCCCATCTGAACACTCCTGGGAAGTAATCGCTCACACGTTCGTGTAGTCTATGTGCCAGTCCCCGTGGAACATAGGACAAGTGCCAGGCACAATATGGTAGTTAAACAGAAAGCAGGCCCAAGTTTCTAGAACTTCCTGGTGGGCAGGATGTATATTAATCACAAAACCATGTGAACAAACCTAAGAATGGAAAATGTGGAAGTGCCCCAAAGGCAGAGCGTGGGGAGCGAGGAGAAGAAATAGCAAGGGGGTCTAGGGGAGGGGAGGGCAGGACACCAGGGACAGCTGACCGAGAGGTGTTGAGCCCGCGGTCTCAGGGTGAGCCTGTGTTGACTGGGCAGTTGGGAAAGAGAAGACGACAAAGGAAAAGCCACGTGGGCAGCTCTGTGGGGAGAAGCAGCTGTGTGGGCATCTGAGAACACCACAGTGCCAGGCGCTCAGGATCAGTGGAGCGCAGAGACGGCCGTGGAGGGGCTGGTGTGGTGGCATGACTGCTCAAGCTGCCACTTGTGACAACAGCATCTCAGACCGCCAGTCTTGTCTGCTCTGATGCTGATTTGGCTCCCTGTTAACATATCTGGGAAAGCAGTACAAAGTGGTTCAAGTCCTTGGGCTTCAAGCCACATGGAGACCCAGGTGGAGTGCTGGGGTCCTGACTCAAGTTTGGCTTAGCTCCAGCCTATATGGCTATTTAGGGAGTGAAACGGGATGTTCTCTCTGTATGTATAAGCCTGCCTTTCTTTTTTTTTTTTTTTTAAAGAATTATTTATTTTTGGGCCCGGCGGCGTGGCCTAGCGGCTTAAGTCCTCGCCTTGAACACGCCCGGGATCCCATATGGGCGCCGGTTCTAATCCCAGCAGCTCCACTTCCCATCCAGCTCCCTGCTTGTGGCCTGGGAAAGCAGCAGAGGATGCCCCAAAGCCTTGGGACTCTGTACCCATGTGGGAGACCTGGAAGAGTCTCCTGGCTCCTGGCTTCGGATAGGCATAGCATCGGCCGTTGCGCTCACTTGGGGAGTGAATCATCAGACGGAAGATCTCCCTCTCTGTCTCTCCAGCTCTCTGTATATCTGACTTTCCAATAAATAAATAAATCTTTAAAAAAAAAAGAATTATTTTTTATTACAAAGTCAGATATAGAAAGAGGAGGAGAAACAGAGAGGAAGAACTTCCATCCAATGATTCATTCCCGAAGTGACCGAAACGGCCAGAGCTGAGCTGATCAGAAGCCAGGAGCCAGGAGCTTTCTTTAGGTCTCCCATACAGGTGCAGGATCCAAAGGCTTTGGGCTGCCCTAGACTGCTTTCCCAGGCCACCAGCAGGGAGCTGGATGGGAAGTGGGGCTGCCAGGATTAGAACTGGCGCCCATATGGGTTCTGGCACATTCAAGGCGAGGACTTTAGCCGCTAGGCCACGGCGCCAGGCCCTAAGCCTGCCTTTCAAATCAATCTTTAAGAAAAACAAAATCCATGGAGGCTATGCAACTGGGCAGGCAGTCCTAGGGCCAAGAGAAACCACCAAAGGCTACTAAGGGGTGGGAAGGGTGACCCTGGTGGGAAGGGTGACCCCGTCAGATAGTCACGTCCGTTAGACCAGTCTATCTGGGAAACTGATGGGCAGGACTTGGTTATAAGCTAGCAGACAAATCAAGGAGTGATTGTTGGGGCAGGCGTTTGGTGCAGCAGTGAGGACCCCACTCGGGACCCCTTGCCTCCTATATGCGAGTGCCCGGATCCAAGTCCTGACTGCTCCTGATTCCAGCTTCCGACTACGTAGTGAACACGTGGTAAGTGATGGCTCAGGTCCCTAGGTCCCTGCCAGCCCTATGGGACACTTGGAGTGAGTTCCCAGTTCCTGGCTTGGGCCCAGCCTCGCCTCAACCATTGTGAGCGTTTGGGCAGTGAATCAGCAGATAGGAGCTGGCGTTGTCTCTGGGCCTCTCTGCCGTGTCAAGTAAGTAAATACGAAGTGATTGCCAAGAGCCACAGAGGCCATGACTTGGGAGATAGAGGCAAGGGTGTGACACAGATGCACCTGCTCATGCAAGAAACTGCGTGTGCCAGAAACTGCACAAACAAGTGCACCATTACACCACATCACGTCCACAGAGAAGGATCTGGCCCCGAGTCCTGGAAAATCAAGCAGAGCGGGAACCGGGGTCTGAAGTAGGCAGAGCTAACAAGGCAGCGGCTACAGCCTGCACAGAGGCAACAGCCAGTGCAGAGGTCCTGGAATAAGGCCAGTGAGGGCTAGAACCAAGGAGTGAGGCCCTGAAGGCAGCCACTCTCCTGCAGGCCTTTGTCTGTGGCCAAGACACTGGGGAGCTCCCGCTGGGGCTCACCCCGGGACTGACATAATCAGAACGTAGAATGGGTCATGGGGTAACGTGGGGATACCAGGCAGGGGCGCCAGGCCTGGTGGGGAGAGCTGGGCACTTGGCCCATTGAGCAGTGGAAACCCAGGGGCGGACAGAGGAGGTGGGAAAATGGGCTGGACGCAGGCAGAGGAGGAGGAATGACTCCAGCACAGATCCTGAAGCAAGGGCTCCCCCGCCCTGATCCCTTACCCCCCCACCAGCACGGCAGGGCTCTTCCGGGAAGTCTCTCCCCGCTCCCAGCCGCTGCAGCCCCGACTCCCCAGCCTATTTCCTGCTTGCCCCGCAGGAATGTCCGCCCAGTTCAGGGCCCGACTTGAATAGAGCATGAGGACCGTTGCAAGGGGAGGCAGGGGCTCTTGCGCTTGGCCAGAGCAGGGTCAGGCGGCGACAATGCGCTTCCTCGTCCCCCGCACTGCCGCTCTGGATGCCTACGGCCGCCCCCGGCCGCCACTCCAACACACCCTTTCTCTACCGGGACTCACCAGCCACAGGGGTTTCTGTTCCTCCACCCGCCCGGGCCAGGGCCCAGGGTCCCCAGGAGCGAGCGTCTGGCTCCTCCTGGCGGTCACAGCATCACATCGGCAAGCTGGGCGAGGCCGGAGCCTTCCCGGCCACAGTCTAGGGGCTGGGTTCCCGGGGCCGGGCAGGACCTGGGGAGTTTGCTGGGCTTGGCTGGCCGCTCACTGCCTCACCTGCAGCTGTATGATTAATCCCCCTCACCAATCCCCTCGCCTCTACCAACTTGAGTGTGCTCACCTGCAAAGGGGGGCTTGTGACGTGGGCAATGCATATCTTGAGCTAATACAGAATAGAAGAATTGTGCTCATTGCAGGTGGGTGGTGACATTCCAGCCAGCCATCCTGGTCAGAACATGGTGAAACTTTTCAGCCGGAAGTTGGCAGTGTGTTCCATCTAGATGTGGAAGGAGA